AGAGAATATAGAAGGTCAAGAAAATATATAATAGAAGCCAGTTATAAATACAAGCTATGAACCTGTGACCAGTTGCAGAAATAACTGTCACATGTGTTGGTTTCCTATTTTAATGTTCTTGTGTATATATACACATTAAGCAGGTATCTTTTCCTTTCTAACACAATTGACTTAATATGAGTAAAGTATTGTTAAATCCATGTTGTAGTATTTAAATTATAAAATGTCAAAAGAGTAAGCATCAAAGTTTGCGTTCTATTTTACTTGCATACATTTCCATTTACATACAAGATGCAGAGATTAAGTATGATTCAGGTTGTCAAGTTGACGAGTAGATTGTGAATGTCAATCATGTCAATTTCAATGCATTAAGAAATTCCTTGCGTGTTAGTAAAACACAGTTCTGGTTGTGTCTCTGAATGACTGACAGGCCAGCAAGCTGATGGGAAAAGACCCACACTGATGCAGGTGATATCAACCAAAAGACTCAGCCTGGATGGGATAAGAAAGGAAGAAAAGGAAATATATCCATTTTTAAAGAGCTTGTCTTTGCCATCACTTGGACATCAGTCACCAGTTCCTTCACCCTTCCAATACAGACTTACACCAGAGCTCTGCAAAAGGTTTCCAGACTTTTCACCTTGGACTGGAGCAGCCGTCTTGATTCCTCGTTTTGAGGATTCTTGGTTGAAGCAGCTATTGTGTCCTCCAGCTCTCTGATTCTGCAAGCCTACCTTAATAAATTCCCCTGTATAACTTGTACATATATTTTCCATTGATTCTGTTCCTCTAAAGAACTCTAATACAGACTGTTTTATGACATGGAGCTGCTGCAGGGCAGCACTGGTGTCACATATGCCCACATCTGGTTGAGGGACTGCTGCAGTTGAGTAAAGCTGCAGGCCCTCCAACATGTCCTGACTACTGAACAAAGGTAGCATACTAATCCCCATTTGCAGGGGCCCAAGCACATGGGGCAGATACATCTGCTCGTCCAGTAAGTGAGGCAACATCGTCACTCACTTGGTTTATAATTCTCACAGAAAGGGGTAAGTGGCAATAATAAGGCATAATAATGAAATCTGCTCAGTAAACATCTGATCAAATGAATGATGTTAACAAATGAGTGAAATGACTATGGTTCTACCTGCTAGAAAGGGTAAATACTCTACAGCAAAACCAATTAGTAAGTAGGGAAGGAAATGATGTACAAACAAAAAGTATGACAACCAAAAGACATTTACATGAACCAGCAACTGACGTTTGATTTGCACCAGACTACTCGTCAACACTGTGCAAGCCACTTCCATTAAAAGTTAAAGACAGTGAATGGTCCCAGTCTGTCATTTTTGGTGGTTGTCCCAGTACTGCTTCTTCTGAGGCTCAGACTGTACCCCTGGAGCCTGTACTGTACACCAGAGCCCCAGGTCTAGCTCTCAGTCTGGAAGGCCAGCCCTATCTCCAAACTGAGGCTGGGTGTTTCCCCCGTATTTGCCTTGGTTACTTTTCTCTCATTGCTGAGACTAAACACCATTTTTTGGAGGTTTCAGTCTACACTCAGCTGGTTCCAAGGCAGAGTGGCATGGCACTGGGGCAACACTTCCAGGCAGCACCCAGAGTAAAAGATGGAAGCACAAGCCTCTTCTCCCTTACATTTTATAGAGGCCACCCCCCAATACAGTAGGTGTAGTACTCACAAAATCTCCTTGCCTTCCTTTGCACAGGATAAGGATATTTACAAAGAATGAATCTTGGCTCCCTGCTGAGTCTCTTAGTTAAACTTCTAAACTGCTCACGTTGATCAGTGTATCAACCATAACAGTATCTTTCTTCAGACATGACTTAAAGGCCCGAAAGAAACCCCACAGAGAGCTCCAAGGTGACCAGACTGAAGAAGCTCCAGTGGCCTAAAGTAGAAGTCTCCCCTCTTGAATCTGAAAGGGACTAGACTGGAACAAGAAAAAAGGTGTTTTGGCATTTGGCTTCTGAGATTCAGCACGCTTCTGGCATCACATTTCTAAATCTTGGTGTGATACTGGAAGTGCAGGTAGATGTAAGAGCTGTCAAGCTGTACTGCAGAGTACTCTGGCCACTTGCTAGTTCCACACCATCTCTAAGAGCTCCATGCAGACAGGGTAACAATGTGTCCTTCAGTCTCACCATTGTTAAAATAGCAAAATTCAAAAGGCACCAAACAGATTATGGGGTGTCTTAGTTACTTTTTTCTGGTTGAGACAAACTTTTTTCTCGTTGAGACAAAATACCTGACGCCCAAAGTGAAGCAAGGGAAGGTTTATTTCCTACAGTTTTGGAAGTTTCAGTCCGTACTTAGTTGGCTTCAAGGCAAGATGGCAATGGATGAATTGGCTGTTCATGGGAGGTGCAAACAGCAACCACTGAGCAAGAAAGACACACTTTCTTCCCACTGGTACACTATATGCTGGCTCCACTCCTGGGCAGGTGTAGGATTTATACCACTAATCCAAGCACTAGATAACAAACCAATCACAAATGCTAGATTCAGTCACGTTCATGATTGCATGAGTCTTGGGGGGGGGGTGTCTGACATAAACCATAACATGTGTTGAGAAGGCAAATATTCACACATGTTCAATATAAATACTAAGGTGGAGGAGCCCAAAGTATGATCCCGCAGCCCAAGGCGGCCCAAGACCCTTGCAGGGCTCACTGGGCACATACTCTTTTCTGGTTGAGACAAACTTTTTTCTCATTGAGACAAAATACCAACCACATACTGTAATGAGGCCACATTCCCACGGCAGACTCCAACCAAAGACAAAGGCCAAAAGTAGGTGAAAGCCTGGGCATGGAGGTACACACCTATAATCCCACCACTTGGGAGGCTGAGGCAGAATGAGTTTGAGGCCAGTGTGGGCTACATAAGTTAGTTCAAGGCCAGCCCACAAAAAGAGACAGAGACAAAGAGAGAGACAATGTGTGTGTGTGTGTGTGTGTGTGTGTGTGAGAGAGAGAGAGAGAGAGAGAGAGAGAGAGAGAGAGAGACAGAGAAAGAGAAAGAGAAAGGAATGAGATGAGAATCTAGTTGCTACTGAATCTTGAAAGCAGACTACATGCCCATCATAGATGGAGAAAGAAAGTGTGATTTTTTTTACACATAATGGGGTACTACTCTGCCATAAAGATAAACTGAGTCATCTGTAGGAAAATCAGTTCATCTTGAGACCACACTGTTCAGTGAAACAAGACACAAAGCTTGAATATCACATCGTTTCTCTTAAATAAGAAACTCAAAGTACAAACAAAGAGCAAAATAAAAGATAGATGATATGAAGCAGATGTAGTTTTTCTAAAAAAGATCAAAAGATGGAAGGAGGGGGCAGGGAAGGATGAAAAAAGGAATTAAGTTGTATTATGGACATGCAACAACTCAACACAAGGAATGAAAACATTACATACTGTAAACATTGACAAAACGGCGGTGGGGGGGGTAAAGGCAGGAGGGAGAAAAGGGAAAGGGGATGAAAAAGGAATTAAAATGTAAGATATACATGTACCAATTCCAAATAAGGAATATAAACAATATGTACTATACATATATACTAATAAAAAAACACCTTTAGCAAGACTTGATGTGTGTCAGAAATATCAATAAAAAGGAGGAACGAAAGGGAACTAGCAATATTTTTAAAAACAAAAAACCATAAAGTCATATACTCAAAGGTATTAATTAGAGAAGTTACTAGGAGACTAAGTTATCTGGTAGAGTAATAGTTTTTAAACAGCCACCCATTTGTTCTTAAGTAAATCACTGATACACAATTGCACAGGGGAAAAGAGCATTTTAGCATCATAGATGCAAGCTTCTACCGGCAAGCTCATGAGTAAGTCAATTAATTTGAGCATCAACTCATGAAGTACAACTTGAACAACACCTCCCTTATAGAGGGATCAAGAATTTAATGGTCACTGTTTTCCCATGACAGTACATGCCCTGCACTTAGTAGATCCTGAACAAATGATACTCATATTGCTCATGACAGCAGAAAGAGTTTGTGTTGCTAAAACGTGTTGCTAATAAATGTTTTAAAGACAACAGAAATCACAATGAAGCATACTTTAAGGATAATCATCACTCAGTTTAAAATCATACAACTCTGCATACACAGGGAAATATACGTTCTACAGACACAACAATACTAAAGAAATGGAAACAATCACTAAAACGATCACTTGGAATAAAAATAAAACTGCATTCTATGCCTTCTCCTCACATAAATGGAAATAAAAAGAAAGATTACATAGGACGGAAATCATTTTGTTTCAACTGCAGGAACTTCTTCTAGATGGCTATCCTGGGTTGTGGATGGACAAAAACAGGCAGTTTCCCCTTTTCAAAGGTGATGATTTGAAACATTAACAACAAGTCTTCCTCTTCTCTTTCCTATCCAAGGAATTGAAGTTAATTAAAAGAACAGTCAGATCCACGAAGTACAATGTCAAAGCCCAACTTTTTCCAGACATGGATCATTATTTATTTAAAAGTACGCATAAAGGTAAAATGCTTATTTAAAGCCTCAACAAGAAGTTTCTTCTAATTCATCCACTCTTTGACTTAGTGTATAGCACTATAAATAAAACAGTTGAGAAACTGATGCTATCAAGTATGTCATCTATAGATACAAGAAATGAACAATCTGAGCCCATCTTTATACCCAGCATGCATGCCACATGAGAATCAAGTTACTAGTGACAGAACTTCCAAGTTCAACTAATGAGGCTGGCAAGGGATTGGAGCAGGAGAGACAGACGAATGCCCCAGTTCTGGCCTATACCTTGTCCCCTTCAGTCCAAGGTATCCTTGGATACAGTGAGATCTTTCAGTTCAACGGCATTTCAATGGCATAATACGATACTCTTTGGTTCTAGGAATTCTGATCACCCATACCTTCAAGTTCAAAATTCAATACTAAAAATGGACTTTAATATTTTACAAGTAAAGCATATGGCTCTAATAATGATTTTCACTTTTAAAAAATTTTTATTAATACATGTTTGCAGTACATGATTACATTCATCATGAGGAGATGGTATTTGTACGTGACAAGACAAACAAAAGCCATTCTTATGACATAGGATATAAAATCAACATCACATACTAAAGCAATTCTTTAAATTATCAACACCATGTGGCCACATTTACCAACAGACCCACTTTTGAGCTGGAAAAGGACATTTGCACGTCAACTAGTCCCCTCGGAGTGGCTAGAAAAACAGACTATGGGCTTTACTAAATCTTGTTGGCACCTGGGTTCATATGCAATATAACCATCAAGTCACTGAGCCAGCTCAGCACTGCAACAACAGCATATATGTAACCGTTGTAGAACTGCAACTGTCTGTGCTTCCTGGAGTGTACTTTAGGGAAAATGGAACCACAGAGGAGGGGGCCTTAATGGTGCTAACCAGGCTTTGTGGAAGTATAATTTTCAAAGTATGCAGGCCAAGCCAGGGATATAGCTCAGTGGCATAGCACCTACCTGGTAAGCACAAGGTCATAAGTTTGATCCCTAGTACAAAACAAAAAACAAAGTATGCAGGCCAGAAAACTGCAATCAATAATCAGCTTTAAAACACAAATAACAGAAATATTTAAAATAACTATTTTATTATATGGGAAATATGAATATTTGTCAGAAATGCAGGATGGGGGCATTTTACACATGTGAGGGACCAAAATTAAATCTTTTGAGTTTCTCTATAATGTGTGGGTCAGGAACGAAAATAAGGCTGAAGTGCCAGGAAGGTTGGGAATTATCTTCATCTTCTAGGCCCCACTTCTGGTCTGCAATCCAAGGCCAACCCAGCCCTGGTCCATCCAAGCACTTGCAGAACAGCAACTGGCCTTACCCTCAGGCCAGGCCTGCAGCAGGCAAACAGTGCTCCTTGCACAGTATCCCAAAGGCCTGAGGCAGGAGCATCCCAACTACAGCTTTCTCTGCTTCTCTCATCATTCTTCTAATACTACTTTCTCAACAAGTAGAAAAATAGGCTATAAGTGGGTTTAGCCAGCAATAAATATTCCTAAATCAGACACTAAAAAAATACAGCTCTCAATAATGCAAATCAACCTTGATATTACTTATTATACTGCCTTCTCTTTGACTTTTCTCATATCAATTCCTAATTTGAGATGTTTTCCAAATATCACTATGAAAAACAAATAGGAACAACATAAGAATCAGTGGCTCTAGAATTAAGCAGGTTTGAGAAGCACTGTTTCACATTTAAAGGGTGGGAGAGCAGAGGGTCAGCCTTGTGCAATCCGCCTTGTGAGGAAGCAGACCATAGAGCTCCCAGGAGTACCACTGCCTCAGGAAGCTACCCACAGCTCCCCAGTCCACCACTCGAGGCAGCAAGCAACGAGTTCTGATCTAAGGTTCTAAAGTTTGAAGTTAAACCAAAAGAAGCAGCAGTATGTCTTACCACAATCACTCACTCACTCACTTATCACTACATTATTTGCATCACAAGAAAATATATTATCCCTTAAGCACTACACCTAAACTGAGAAGAAAATGTCTCTCCACAAAGTCTGGGAATTAGCCTATGTGCCCAGAGACCAATGTTTTAGCTAAACAATACACTGTAAGCCCTACTCTGTAGTATTTGCACGGATTAACTATAATTATCAAGTAACTATCTCCAAAAGAACTATTAAAACTATTATTAAAAACATATGTAACAAACAAAAATGCCCTGTAAATCATATTATTGCACACAGGATTATCAGAAGCTATGCATGTAGAAGATCTTAAGGACTCTAGAAGACCCAGAAAAGAGATCCTAGGGCCATGCCCGTAGCCGCTCCAGCCAGCATGCCGAGGGCCAGGTCACTGTCACTGTCTCGATACCGCTCACGAATGATGACTTGGTTGGTAGGCTGTTGTCCATAGAGTCCTAAAAAAGAAGAAAAAAGAACTTTGAGAAGCAAAGTTGTTAAGTCACTCAGTTACTACTCCCTCAGGCACAGTCACTGTGCCTCCTCTCCATAGAACCAACACTCACTTCCCTCTCACCTGGCACATACCTTCCTCTGGAGAAGGGGCAGCTGGCAGTCTGTACCAGCCCTCCCCAATCAGACCTAGCACACAGCCCAGCAAGGAGGACACCTCTGTCGAAGGAGTGCACTAAGGGAAAAATCAAGACTGTTGGCTGGCCAGGGTTAAAGTCCACAACACCAAGAGGAGGCCCTAGGGAAGCAGGAGATTGTGCTCCTACTGTCCACATCAGCTCTCCATGCCATGTCTATTGGGACCACAGACAAACAGAAAGAACACAAAACACACAGCCTGCAAACAATGAGAGCTGAAAACTCCCAGAGCAAGCCCAAAGGGAAAAGCCTGTTTAAAACTCAATGTACATACACAAAAAATGAATTCACCTCTTCACATTCATGCAAACCAATTTTTAAGTTAAACCTTAAAATTTGTTAACACAACTCGACCTTCATTTTTAATCACATTTATGTAATTAAAACTATGTGAGAACTATTTGAAATATTGACTTCTATTTGTTAGAACTGAACATTTCTAAAAAAGCAAACCTTAAAACAAATTTAGTATTTAATATGCATTATCAAAATTTACAAGTAGAAATGTATTTTTTCTTCCATGCTTCAGTTATACTACTTATTAGCTACTAAACTTTCAAACTGCCTCACATATTAACAAACTTTACTCATTTATCTCATTTCTTTCAACCCCAAGACAGTAGAAAACTAGTCCATTACTATCATATATACCTAGATAAAGAACAGATAGGAGGCCAGCAGAACAACACAGGCTGGCATTTCCTAGTACTTACCAGCCTGAGCACTAACCGTGTTTATGATGCTTTAAGTGCTCAGGCTGGTAAGTACTAGGAAATGCCAGTGCTGACTTAATACAGTGACCTCTGAGTAGGACAGGTATCACCCCCAGTTTATAGATGGGCAAACTGAGGTTCACAAAGGTTAATATTTAGTAGAATTACCTAACATGAGTATTAATAAGTGTTTAAAAAGCAAGCAAAAAGAAGGAAAACACTGTTTCCATAACAAATGAGCCAGATATTTTAAGCTACACTAAATAAAGGCAGGTCACTTTTAGAAATCACTATCAAACTGAGAAAATGCTGAGATGAGGAAAAGGGCAGTAAACACTAACTCGAGAAGTGCATCCTGAACTTTCCCCTAAAAACTCTAATGCAGCAATATATGTTAATATGCTCTCTACTAGACAAAAGTGAAAGACTCCTACTGCTGAGAACCAGGCTTCATCTGGTGCAGAGTGGGCAATAATTGATATTAATATACTGGCATAAAATAAATTGAGAGACTGTCCTAGGTCTAAGTGACTATGGCTAGGCCTGAAGCTGGTGTGGGGACAAAATTAAGACCCCGGCCAAAGCCAGGACTGAAACCAGCAAAAGTTTGTGAAGTCCTGGCACCTCAAAGCAAGAGAAACACTACAGCTGAGGACTCTTACTCACCTAAATTCCTTCTAGCACAGTAGTCTCAGCAGATAATCAGATTACTAGTCAACCATAGTCTGCTTTTGTGTGCATTTCCAAAAATGCTTTGTTCTTTGAATCCTTAAGCCTTGCATCAGCAATTCACCATTATCACTTTGTGCAGCCCACCAGCACATCCCCAATTAAGCTGTGCACTGTGCCTCAGGGTCTTAATTCTCCATGGGCTTTGACCATCCTAGTGCCCCTTGTAACTAAAATATGTATCTCGTTTGCATTTTATTCCTCCATTGTATCCCTGACCAGGACATCAGTGTTCCTAGGCCGGGGGCCCAGTATTCCACCCAAGGAGCCAACTCAAAACAAAGATGTAAACCCCACATCAAAGAACAATGCAAGTCAGATGTAATGGTAATGGTACACAGCTATAATTCCAGCACTCAAGAGACAGAGAAGGAGGATCACCTTGAATTTGAAACCATCCAGGCCTAACTAGTGAGTTCAAGGCCAGCCTGAACTACATAGCAAATCTTGTCTCAACAAAACAAAACAACAATAAAAAGATAGCTGAATCAAGTTCATTAACATAGATCAATCAAAGTAGGACTTTTACAGTGTATATTTAGTACTCTCTCTACTTTTTCAATTGAAAGACTGGCCTCTGGTCCAAATTACACTAACTACAAGGCTGTGTTTAAATAACTCCCTATATATTAACTAGAAGGTTCTCTATGGGCCAGCAGTCAGCAGGGAGATGCTTGAAAGCAAGAGAGCAAAGAGTTGGTGGTGCATCACAGGGTCTCAGGAGGCTGAGAAGTGTACCAGTCTGGCTGCCAGTACAGAGCTGTTGTGGGATCCACTTAGTCCTCCCACACAAACAGGCCTGCTGGTGGGCAGATCACCACACTAAGGCTGGACAATCACCAACTTGGACCCTCCACATTCAAAAATCTGCCAACTTGTATGGTAAGTATTATAAAGTGCTGCAGAGAGGGGACCACCTTCTCTTATCAGGCAAAGAGGAAAGCAAAGGTGGCATCTGATATCCAAAAATTTACTTAACAGCTTTTTTTTCTCCTCCAAGTTTCTGCTCTTCAACGTAAGAAGAAATTATCTGCCATCATTCTGTTCTGTGAACTGGAGACTAAAAAAGAGTCAACTTATTGTCTGATAAAAACAGGACTTAAAAACCTACCACCCTCAGTAAAACACTGAAAAATTAACAGACATAGGAAAATAATTCATAAAAGAGAAAAAAGAATCAGTTAACAATTATAAAGACAATGTTCACATTTGTTAGTCATCCTAAAGACGCAGTTAAAGCAACTCCACTGTTCTATTCTAAGGATTCTAAAGTTACCACAACTTTCAGAACCTAACAATTCTCAATCTCTAGCATCACAAATTGGTAAACTGTTCTGAGAATCAATTTGGTAAAACACTGTAACAGTAACACATAAAATGATATAAAGTTTGGAATTTCCCTCAAAATAACTCAAGAGGTAGCGAGAAGTGGAAATGAAGGTGAACACTGAGCCCTAATGTGGTAATGCTGAATGAAGCTAGTGATGGTTCATTACACTGCCATTCTACTCCATAACAGAAAATTTGCATTGCTTTCTGTCTCAGAAAAAAATCTCAAAATGTCTATCCCTTTGACATGTTGATTTACTACACAAAAACTGTGTTCTAAGACATATTTAACAAAAATGCAAGCTGTATGACTTCCAGGAAGAGAAAAGTCAGTGCCTCCCATGAGCCTACCAGCACTCAGGCTGAAAATCAAACCACCACCACCACCACCACCACCCACAAGCGACCCACTGGTTCAGAGGACAGGCTGAGTTGATAGCAAGTAAAGCAACTAAATGCTTGTGTTGTCTGGTTGATTTTGCAGGCCTGGGGCCAGCAATCTGAGCATTTCTTGGGAGGATGACAGTATACAACATAGCAAATATGGGAGATTTCCTTCTATCTTGTTTTTGAAATCCAATACTGTTTTCACTGTTTGGCTTATTCTGATTGCTTTGCTTTATTCAATATTTTGTTTTGATTGGTTTTATTCTGCTTTGTTTTTGGTTTGATTTTGCTATACCTGATGGAATGGACAACTATTGTGAAGATCATAAGATATACTATTGTAGCTATTGTTGTTTTCCTAATAACCTGCTTTTAAGTTCTGTATCAATTTTGCTGCTTTGTTTAGATTGGTTTTGTTCTGTTTTGTTTTGTTGGAGTTCATTATCCTTAAAATAAAAAAAGACACTTAACAGAATAAAAATGAAAATTGAAGCAGTCAAAGCATTATTCACTATAAAAGCAAAAAAAAAAAAAAGAGTTGTCAATATTGAATATTGGAAGATTTCACTTATATCACCCAATACAACACACAATCACTAAAATTACCTAAGAATATTCTGCAGCACTTTAAGCAGCATATAAAATTTAAATTCACAACTGAAGTATAAAAAGTATAAAAGTACAATAAACATTTAATGCCATAATTATATTTTACAGGTCTTCCCCATCACATAAAAAGTCAAGCAAGTCCACATGGGTGAGGAAAATTCACAGAGCTTTGCAGGCCAGGAATGATACTAGTTTTTACTATCTCTAATCAGGAAACTGTCTCATGTAGCAGACACTAGATGTGTCACTGCACGACATACATCTGAGAGTCACCCAGGACTTGCAGACTCCCAGGACACTGCCATCAACGTCAACGTCCTTTCCAATGCTTTTGTATGGAGGACGCATACCTTTGCTGTCAGCCCCATAGACAGTCCCTCCTCCCACACATCCTCAGCAGCTCAGCTGTGGCCTGCACTTCCTCCACTGTTGCCTCTAGTACCCTGGTGTAGCACTCAGTGTCTGCCCTGTCTGATGTCACAGGTGGCCTTGCATGGACCCTCATGCAAGGCCAGAAATTGAAAAGTTCCACACAGACCCAGCAAGTCAAATTTATAGCTTGTTTCTTGTGAAGCAAAGAATGGAAAGCAACACATCACAACCCCAGAATTAACAGCAGGCCCTGGCAGGCCTCTATTTCCCTATGAAACAGAATAATAATAAGTAGAGATTACTGTCCAACAATGTTACCAGAAGGATATACCAGGTGAAAAATAATCTCAAATCCCTTAAAATGGCCTTTTACATTAGTTGATTCTTGATATAAGTGAAAATACAGTAGGTCCAAATTGTCTTCTTGAGAACTAATTTGTACACAACAGTGAAATGAAATTCTAAAAATCAATACCACTTTGTAAAGCAATGTGAAAATACAAAAAGACTCCTTAAAAAAAAAATTGAAACCACAGTAGTAGAGACCAACCATAAAATGCAGTTCACTTAGCCTTAAACTGAGAAATGAAAATCTTTGCATGAAGAGAAACAAGGTCAGGTGAGTTACCTGCATATGGGTACTGGTAAGGTACGGCATACGCATGCCCATTCGCAGCATAGACAACCTGAGTTCCCATCGGGTATGCACCACCATATGAACCATAGCCATATGCTTGCTGAAAAACAAAACAGGCCCATTAGAAACACAATCTTGAAACCTCTGGTAATGTACTCAAATTGAGTTTCCAAGTTGCAGTCAAGAAAACTTACATCATTAAGAAGAACACAAGACAATGTGATTATGCCTTTTTAAAAGATTACTAAAGAATAAAAAGTAAAGTCTGCTTTACGGATATATGGTAAATAAGCCTTGTTTTACCCCATTACAATCAACTACCACATTTCCACCAAAATAATACTGGATAACATTAACTTAGGCTTGACAAAGATGCAAGAGGAAACTTCCAGGATGATGGTGGAGTGGTAAGCAGCAGAGAAAACAGCCTTTCTCAGAGTCACCATCCAGATGCTAGAATATAGCATTGTGAGGAAAACAGCAATACAAGTGGGTCCCCTGGATCCAGAAATAATCTGAAGTACCAACTGAAATCCACACAAAGAGTAAAAAGAAAAATTTCAACAAAGAAAGTGGTGCCTAGTGGCACTTTCTCCCTGAACTGGACTGCAAGAGGAGCTCTTTGAATCTGGGGAAGCAGAGTCAGGGTGACAAGTGACAGCTGGCAACACCGGAGGCCTCTGCAGAGATTCACCAGTGGAGAGGAGCAGCAAACATGGAAGACTGCACTGGCTAGTGGTTAAGTGCAGAGGACATAGTCTTCCAGCAGGGAGAGTGATTATCTGGGAGCCATTTTGGAGACAGGACAGATAAGCCCAGAACCCAGAACTGCTGCCAGCTTCCTCTAGCAGCTCAGAGCTGGGCACAAACCCATGGAAATTGCTTGGACTGCGGCAAGCCCAATGAGTCTGGTCTCAGGGCAAGCCTGCTGAGGTTATCCATTACTCTGCCATAAAGCAACTGCTTAGCTTGCTGGGATAGATCTGCACAATTAAGGACTATATCTACACAGGTTGCGTATTAGTGAACCCAGAGAGAATCCTGGAAGTGGACTTGTTTGTTTTTCTTTTTCATTTTTTTTTGTTCTGTTTCATTTTATGTTTTTGTGTTTGTTTGTTCTCAGTTTCCATCGTTTTTATATGACTGTGAGAGTGGTTTCTAACCTCTTTGTGAGTATGGTTCTGTTCTGTTCTTCCTTTTATCTCTTCCATCTCTCTTTTCCTTCAGTCTTCTGAACCAGTTTCCCCAAGTTGGTGTCATTCCCCTAGGTCCACCAACCTTACTTCTAAGATCTTTTTCTTTTTGCATTTTTCTATTTTCTCCTTAATCTATTTTAAAATTTTAACCCCCAAAAGCAAAACTGACACATTATGGACTTATATATAGCATATATTATCTGGTTGATTTAACTATTGTGATATAATCACAAACCTAGGTTATCTGGTTAAAACTTACAAATTAAGTACAGCTCAGTTTGTTGTTTTTTAGGCTGTATTTGACGATATTGGTACCACTATAGCCAAAATTGACCTTATTGTCCTAAATAGCTGTTGGTCCTAGTATCCATGACTAAGATTAACTATGGGTCACAGAAAATACAGTGGCACAGAGCCAGTCAAGTAAGGACTAAGCCAAAAAAGTAACAATTTCTCATCACCAATAGACTGAAGAGGTAAGATTTTCCAACACATTCAAAACCCAAATCACAGCTATAACTCAAAGAAGTAATCACTTAAAGAGTCCTAAATATCACAAATAAAGCAATCCACTACAGGCAACTTGCAAGTATTACCCCAGGAATAAAACTAAAAAAAAATAGAAACTAAAATGAGAAGATACTGATGCAAAAAATAGACGAGCTTAAGAAAAATATGGAAAATCAGCATAAAAAATGGAATTCATAAGACATATTCTTGCAGATATCCAGGATAACATAAACTCCATTGAAAATATGCAAAGTGAGGGAGGCAGAACAAAGATGGTGGATAGGTACCAGCTGGCTACAGAGGTTCCCTGAGATAGTCAGGGAACATAATACAGCGTGGGGTGCCCCGAACAGAGGGAGATGACTTCTCTCATCCCAAGAAGAAACTAAGAAGAAAAAAACCAATCAAACATACAATTCCGGTACTATTATTGGAACAGCTGAAGATTCAGTGCTCCTGCTGCAGCAGACGACTTGCCAAGCTGTCCGAGGTTCCGCCACTTCGACTCACGTGTAGATACAGTCACACTGAAGTCAGGGGTCAGCCAGCCGAATGGAGAGCTAAGCTGACAGGGAGCCTGCATTGACCTGTGGTGAGTGACAGGGGTGGTGCCATTCCACAGAAACCAGGTCTCTGGCAGATGACATTCTAGGACCAGGCAGGACTGGCAAGTACAAGGGGCAGCAGTGACTTCAGTCAGTTGTTCCCTTCCCAAACGGGAATGGTGGCATGAGCTAGGCCTGGGTCAGGCAACCTGGCTGAGACCCAATAGGTGATCCAATAGGTTACCCAAAATCAATTCCCTACAGCGGTGGCGTACACTAATGCAGTAAAGTCTCAGAAGTTTGACTGACCCAGGGGGCAGTCGGCACACAGTTATATAGTACAGGCCTCAGCAGCTTGACTGATCCAGAGGGGAGAGGCCAGCATACACTGGCCCTGTTTGCAACTCACTAGCACACTGCAGTGGAAAGGGTCACCTAGCCAGCATGCTTCAGAAAAATTGTAACCAACAAACCAAAACTGGGGCCTCCTGAAAGAAATAAAAAAGATGGGAAGAGGAAGCAAAAACAAAAAGTCCCCAGGTCCCAACCCTGAGAACACTGACCCACGACAGATAAATACAAAGGAGAATGAGAACAGCAAATATGCAATATCAGACATGGGACCAGTGGACAGAAAGAGATATCTTTAGGACCTCATAGACAAGTTAAAAAGTGAAATATTTAGCCAAGTAAAGCAAGATATAAGAAGATTAATAAAAGAGATGCTAAGCACCCCTCAAGCAGATACAGACGGAAGAAGGGAGGAAGTCAAAGGAGAGAACCATTTGATGAAGAATATAAAGAAAATATAGAATACATGAAGCAGATTCAAAGAGATTACCAGGAAATTAAAAACTCCATGGAAAGATGGCAAATCTGCTTGAAAGAAACTAAGCATAGATTATCCAAACTGGAGGACAATTTTACAATGTGTCATTATGAAAGGAAAAACTTTTTAAAAATAACAAAGAAAAGTAGTAACAATACAAAGGCTAGAAGATGACAAAAGGATCTATAACTTGAGAATAAAGAATGTAAATGAAGAAACTGGGATACAAACAAAGGAACTACAAAGTTTATTCACAGAAATAATTAAGGAAAACTTCCCAAACATAGGAAAAGGAAATGATATTCTAATGTATGAGGCATACACAACTCCAGCCACCTACAACCAGAATAGAGCTACACCCAGCCAAATAATAATCAAGATCCCAGAAATTCAATATAAGAACAGAATATTAAAAGCTGTTAGAGACAAGAAACAGAAAACCTATAAAGGAAGGCCCATCCAAATAACGGCAGACTTCTCGACACAAACCATCAAGTCAACAAGAGCCTGGAGTGAAATATTTCAAACCCTAAAGAAAATAACCTCCATCCCAGATTGATATACCCTGCTAAACTGTCTCTAGAAATTAAAGGAGAAGCAAGATGCTTCCAAGACAAAGAAAAACTTGGGAAATTTGCAACAGCCAATCCAACTCTACAGAGAATACTCTAGGGCATTCTAGAGAGAGAGAAAAGTACTAGGATTCCAAGAACAGTGGCAGAGAATGGAGCCACTTGCTCAATGAATGGAGCAAAAAACAGAATAAAGAAGACAAGCAGACAAATGATGGGAAAAAGAGCGTAACAGAAATGAGGCAGAGAAGATTTTGTTCAAAATTGATATGATTGATAGTCTCAAGTCTGAGAGTATAGGCAACTACACTGAAGACTCAGCAATGCACATTCTGGTTTGATAACTGCCGGTTTTTGAAGTTCTATACTATAAACAAAGTTTTGTTTTTATTAATACTGTTATGTACTGAAATATTCAATTATACTATGCCTGATGATATAGCCAATTCTATTGGAGATAACAAGAGACAACACAGGAACTATAGTAGAATGATTCGTACAATGGTCTTATAGGTTTATTTCGTTTCATGTGTTTATAGGAATATGTTTTGTTTTGCCTTGCTTTGTTTTGTTTCTCCCTCTAATACAAAAAGGATAGAAATACATGTTAAGACTCATGCATGTATATAATCTATAAACAGTTTATGAGAACTGATCATATGACACATAATGAAATGAACAGATACTCTGAAGAAAAAGACATTAAAATCCCCAGTGCTGATCCTGGAGGGTCATAATGTGAAACCCAGGAATAGTATTATTCTTTGTTCAGAGTGATATTAGCCTGCTTGGGTTTATTTAATTTCAACATAACTGAAGAGATGGATAACTTTATGTATGTTTAAGTGTATAGGATTGATAACCATATTTCTAAGTTTTTGTTGGCTAGTTGAACAGAACTGGTTGCAATCTCACTGTTTGAATCCTCACTTTATAAGCTCCACTTTAGTATCTTGAATAACTATTTATAAGAAGACAATCTGTAATCATCACTTAGTGATTTCTTACTGTTTATTTTTTTTCTTTGAAACTATGTATTATTTCTACCCATTTTCTGTTTGGTATAATCTTTCTTTAAATTAAATTTTTTAAAAAAAGATACTACAGTACCCAGTGCTGATCATGGAATGTCATGATGTGAAAAAATAATAATAATAGAACTAAGTCAAACTTTTGAATAAATGGACCTAGTAGATGTCTACAATGTTCCCTCACACAAAATCAGAATACACATTCTTCTCAGTTGCATGCAGGACATTCTCCAAAATAGACTACACACTGGCTCATAGAACATGATTAAGTAAATGCAAAGGAACTGCAACTATCCCATGCATACTATCAGACTGCAGTGCAATGAAACTGGAAATCCATGCCAAAGGAAACCACAAGAACTTCATCAACACATGGAAATTGAGTAGCACTAAAATGAACAACCAATGGGTCACAGA